TGGGACCGGCAGAGGAGAGAGAAGGATTGAGCGGGAAAGAGGGAGGGGAATGCAGCAAGAGGAGAGACCGTGCCAGGAGGAAGCCTAGGCAGATGGAGAGAGGGGAAATCGCAGCCTGTCTGGCACAGCAGCTGATGCCATAATTTAAAGGTCAACTCAGTGGAAAAGGAAGAGGAAAAAAGGGGGAGGGGGTGGTGTTGAAAAGACTACCTCCACAGGATGGCACTTAACCCCTCCCATCCCTGTGCAGCCCTACACGGCCTTTTCTCTTGACGGGACGTCCTCTAAGTTCTGGCATCCCCCTGTTCTAACTCCTCACTCCCCAGTGTGGGCTCTGGAGGCTGCAGACCTAGCTCTGCCTTCTGCCTCCTTTTGTTACCTCATCAGAGTAGAAGCCACATAACCTCCTGAACCTTAATTTCTTCATTCATAAAATGAGGATGATAAAACCAAATCTCCCCAGTTTATTGTAAAAGTTAAATTGTATGATGGCGTAAATGCTGGAAAAACTCGTTAAAAAGTTGCAAATCTTTCTGGGCTTCTCTAAAGGAAGTGGCTTGATTACCTTTGAGAAAAAGTGTCCCTTTGTTCTAGGCAAAAAAACACCATTTAGCAAATAAAAACTAGTAGCCATTCGTTGTCCTAAGGCACCCTCTGTCCTTGGAGACAACTGGTCACCCTTAGACTGAATGCTGTGAGGATGATATGCTCACTTTAGGCTTTCCTCTTTGTCTTTCACCAATTTATTTTGTGAGTTAATCTTTTAGCAAAATCTCTCTCTCTCTCTCTCTCTCTCTCTCTCTCTCTCTCCTTGCTCCCTCTTCCTCCCTCTCTCTTAACTGACTGAGTTGCTTCTTGGGGAGGAATGTTACTTTTCTCTGCATGGATTTGGGCTGCCTTATGCCTATAAATTATAGCAAGTTCTTGAGGGACTATGGAGGTTTTTGTTGGAATGGTTTTTTTGCCAGAAGGCTGAAGAGGAAACCCCAAGGGCTGCAGGAAAGACTTGCAGGCATGGGTTTCAGCTCAGGCTAGGGGAGGCTGTATATAGTAACTGGACAGGCCCACAACTTCCTGCTATGGTGCTTTGTGATGCCCTCTTGCCATGCAACGGCCATGGGACAAGCCCACACTGCCTGTTGTCTATGGTGGGTCAGAACATAGCATATGAGGGAAGTCTGGAGACCATTCCTGTGCTCCCAGGCCTGCTGCTGGGCTAGATCACCCTGGTCTAATGGAATTGGCTGAAGGGCTGACTGGAGCCCCACTGGCCCCTTGCTTCCCTTCCATTATCCTCAACTGTTCAATGAGTCCAAAATCACAGCCTAGACTCTACTGCTATGGTAGAGCCACCTCCTGCTCTTCCTATCAAGACATGGCTTTCAAAAGCTTAGATTAGAAAAATGGATATGGCCATGGTGATATGGTGGGTGAGGGGGAAGATGGAGGGTCCTTCTTCAGAACCGCCATCACTGGAGCTGCAGGCAGCCATGTTCCAAAGCAAGACATCAGGAGAATTATACCTTTTCCCCTGGTCTCTTAGATATGATAAAGGCCTCTTTTGAACCCACAAGGACCAGGACACTTCAGCCCAGAGAGGTTTGCTTCCAGGCAGAGCTATCTAGTGAGGCAGTGAAAGGGGCCCTGGCCTGATGGCAGGCGAGGATGAACTTGCCTTGCTTCCTGCTTTTGCTCTTTCCCTAGTCCACGGCCCCTTCTTCCCTGTGATGATGGCTGAGCTTCTCTTCGAAGGCGGGGGCCGTTCCGCACAGGGAAGCCCAGGTCTACCGTGAGCACTATGCAGCCTGGTTCTGGGTGTGCCAGGACTTGGCTGGATGGGGTAAGTATGCCCAGGAAGAGGTACCCGAACAGGGTCACTGCATGGAGCGGGGGATGGGCCTTGACCTTATGCCTGGCAAACAGCAAGGAAACTCTAACTTGGGGCTTTTGGCCAGTCACAGGGCCAGCCCAGGGAGCCCTTGCCAAAGGAAGAGGCTCCCTTTGTCCACTTGAGGCTGTAAGAGAACCCCTGGGGAGAGCAGCACAACTTCATAGTGACCACCAGGGGGCTCTGGGGGACCCCGCAAGAGCTACTTCTTGAGGAGAACCTTCAGTGACCCCTGCCTGGCCTGGAGCGCTAGAGCAAGTGACAGAACCTAAAATCAGCTAGTAGAGACAGTGCTCCCTGTCTCCGAAGGTATGTGATGGAGGCTAAAGGAGTCATCTTTCAACAGGGGAATTTGTTTCTCATGCAAAAGTTTGACACGGGTCCACCCTGCTCCAAGATCCTGTTGACATGGCCCAGGCAAACCGACACTGTGTTCCCATTAGCTGATCAGCACACAGCACTCTGCCACCAGCCATCCAGGACAGGGGAGGCTAAAGCCAACCAAGCCTGTGAGAGACAAACACAAGTTTCATTCATAGTCTCAATCTAGCCAAATGTAGCTGTTGGCAGTTCCTCGCAATAATTAGAGAGACAGTTCACATTTGCCTAAAATAGCTAAAGAATTGAAGGAATAAAACCTTTAGTTCCAGGGCAAAGGAAACCTGGGGGTTATGATATGTCAACACATAATAAACCGAAGAGGAGCCTGAGGGTAGAGGCAGCGTCTCCCTGGTTGGGACAGAGGCTTCCCCAGGGCAGAGCCTCTGTCCCCTGCCTGACATCACCCAACACATTAGTCCAGAAAACTCTCTAAGGGTGTTTGAGAGAACTGATGGGCCCATCTCTCCGGAGCCTTGCTGCCAACTGGGGCTCCTGGAATGGGTTCTGGGCAGAAACGCAGCACCCCTGCAGTGGTGCAGAAGAGAAGCAGCCCATTGGCAACCCCCAGCTCCCAGCAGCATCTGGTCCCCTCTCAGCAGCCCTGCCCAAGGCCACAAGAGAACATCATCCCACCCAGAGTGTCTGGCACCCAGTGCTGCTCTCGGCCCTTCTCTGATCATCGTTTTCAAGAGCCATATGCTCCTGGAACACAAGTCCCCTCTCACTAAGGACAGCTCACACCTCCTGCTTCCAGCCTCTGCCTCCTTCCCAGAGTGAGCAGGTCTCCCTGACTCCCCAGGGTCCCCAGTGCCAGCTGTAGCCACTCCTCTAGGTCTCTCTCAGCTCCAAATCTCAGACCTGCTGGACCCACTGTCCAGCCTGAGTCATCTCATGTGTCAGGCCTGCTCTGGGCCCTGGGGACACAGGAGCAAGCCTGCCCTCCATGGAACTCCTATTCAGGATGCTGACAGCATCAAGAATCCTCTAGAGCTTTGCTTTACAGAGACTAGACTCAGGTCATGATCCTGGCAAAGACTAGCAGCTATGGCTGTGGACAGGCTATTGGGACAAGGAGGGACAGTCAGAATCAGGCAGGCATGCCTAGGACAGGGCTGTCAGACTGTTTGAGGGTATCCACCAGGAAACTGGGAGGCAGGGAGATATGGAAGGGGACATACCAACGGCCAGGCTGGGCTCTGGGCTTGTAGTCTCTGGGAGTCAGGTTGGGCTCAGAGAAGAGGCATATTGATCAAACTCATGCTGAGCTAAGGTGGGTCTCACTTCTGGGTTCTAATGCAGGCTTCAACACTCACTCCCTCCTTCCAGCCTGTTTCCTTCTCTGAAGATTGTAAGGATCACTCCCACCCCTGCCTTGCCCCCTTACAGGGATGCAGTGAAGATCACATGCAATATAAAGGTCACTGTGAACATAAAAGATTTTATTCTCCAGCTCATACTTACACACCTACAGGACAAGGAACTCACTACCTCTCAGGCAGATGCTCTGTTGAGCTGGTGTCTTCACTGAGTAACTCACAAGAAGCACACTGCAAATCCACGGGGGAAAGGGCTAATGCAGCTCAAAGCTTTAGTTGGAGACTGACTCGACCACATCAAGACCACGACTGCACAGAAGATGGACCCCAGAAAGCCAGAAGGTGATGCTCTTGGCCTTTGGAGACTTCCCTGAGCAACCTGCTCAGCCCTGTACAAACACCTCCCTGGTCTTGACCTGCTCAGCCCTTGTCTGGTGGCATCTGCCCATCTGTGAAGGTCTGGGGCTCTGTCACCCACTGAAGGCCACACATCTAAGAAGCTGTCTGGATTCTGCTTGTGAGCAGCGGCTGTGCCCTGAGCGGCCCCAGGCAGGCAAAGGGACATCTCCCCCGACCCAGGAGAAAAAAAACCCTGAGACAGGGGCAGCCTCACTGTCCCCTCGAGGAGGAGCCCGCTGGGAGTGAGGGCATTTGGGGCAGCCTAGGGGATGGGGATGAGAAGCAGGCGGCAAAGGCAGGCAGCTGGTTCAGACCCGTGGCAGGAAGTCACAACCAAGATTCATCCTGGAAAAATGCAACTAATGCTACACAGCTGGGGCCCACTAATCAGAAACACGGGCCCAGAGGTGGCAGCAGGGACAAGCCCAGAGGGTAAGGCTGACAGCGAGGTGATAATCGGCAGCAAGTTCTAGGTCGGTCTCCCCACCCTCTCTGTCGGCTGCCGTTTAGAGACAGAGGTTGTCACACTGATCTGGAAGGGGCAGCTTCTCCGCCCCTGCCCCCTCTGCCTGGAGAGGGGGACGCATTGCTTACCCATAGCCCAAACATCAGCTCAAACAATAGCTGAGTCTTGTCAGATCTCCAGAGCATGGAGTCAGCATGGGAGCTTCACCTCTTTCCTTCCCTGGTGATGCCCCCTCCCCAAGGCCGGGAGGCACAGCCTGTCCCCCTTCTCCCAGCACAGCCTGCCATTAGGACAGGTTCAAAATGAGCCATGAGCCCTCAGGGGGCTCCTCTCCATCTGGGCAAGGCCCTGCCCCCTGGGAAAGGCAGGAATGGGACAGGATTCTGGGCAGAAGTTACGTTAGGGGAGAACGTGGAGGACTGGGCTGGGCCACAACCCCTCAAAGTGCCATTTCTTTGAGTTCAAGGAACATCCATGAAGCTCCTGCTATTACCTGCATGCCAGGCCCTGGGCTCCAAGGTGAATGTCTGCATTCTCTGTCCTCAGGGGCTCACAGTCTAGCTGGAGAGAGAAAGAGGGAGAGAGGAGCTTTCACTCAAGGTAAGAGCAGGGCCAGGAAGGCCCCTGGGAGCCAAGAGCTAGGAGGGGGCGCCCACCCCTGCCCAGAAATGGTAGATCCTCCAGACCCCAGGATGCTCCTCTGGTTCTCCTCCCCACTTCCCTCCCATTTCCCAAGCTGTCCTTCTGCCCTCAGCGATGTCTGTCTCGGGGTGAGCCCTCAGGGCCACAGCCTAGGGGGAGAAGAGGGAGGGCCCTCTGTTGGGAGAAGAGGCCTACCCTGCAGATCCTCAGCCCAGAGGCTGTCCCCTCTGAAGCGATCTTGCAGTCCCTGAGCTCCGCCACCCTCAGCCCCTCCCCAGCCCCAGACCCTGCTCAGCCCCTCATACAACCCCCCGCAGCCAGGGGCGGGGAGAGGCTGGTGGTGCGTCCTGTCGGTAAGCTCCCTTCTTTTGCTGCCCAAGCTATCTACTAGAGGCACCTCTGGGAGCAGAGGTCCCCTGAGCCTCCGGAGCACATTGATGGTGAGCACAGGCCCACAGCCTGCCCCTCCCCACCTTCTCCCAAGCCTGACTCCCCCTCCCTGTGGCCCCACGCTGCTCCCGCAGAGCTGTCTCTGAAGTGCAAGGCTTGGTGTCTGGCCGACCCTCCCAAGTCACAGAAAGCACGGGCAGGTATTGGGTGGGGGCCTGGGGTGGAGGTTTGAGAGATGGAGGTTGAAGGACAGAGGGAGAATCTGGAGGGCGTGCAGGTGGGGAAGACAGGGCTGGGCATGGCCTTGGGGAGCCTGGATGGAAGAAGCAGGGGTCAGAGGTCGGGAGCAGGAAAGATGATGGGGAAGCAAACGGCAATGTGGAGCTGGGAGCTGCCTTGTTGGAGGTTTCCTTACTGCCTGAGTGTTTGCCATGGAATTTCCCGGCCTAATAAAGAAGAATTTAAATAGACCACAAGTTGCTTAATGTTGACTGTATAAATAATCCAAATCCCCAGCTCCCTTTGTTCCACAGGCTATTTGTGTCAAGAGAGAGGGAGGGGGCGGGATCCAACAGAAGCCACCATCCCAGATCGCAGGGTTTGAGGACTCTCTGTTCTCCTCCACCAGGGCCCCAGGGAGCAGGGGTTGAGGCCTGGGACGGGGAGACTTGGGTTTCCCAGCCAATCTTCCATTTGTGAGCGTGCACACACTGGCATGTCATCCCCACACAGATTCACGTGCGAGCATGTACCCGTGCACACACAGCACATTGTGCCCGTGCTCACTCTGGGCATGTGTGCACAGGCCCATGCAGGCCCACACAGGCTGACTTGCATGCACACAAATGTGCGTACACAGCCAGACACACAGGGAGCACGAGGGGCTCAGATGAGGTGCCAGCCTGCCGGGGGCAGGTCCCACCCCTTCCCTGCCGCCTGCTGCTCAGCAGACCAACAGGGACTCGCAGCTTGGGAAGAGGGACCCTTCAGAGTCCTGGGGGTGGGGGGGCGGTGGCAGAGTGGCTTCAGTCACACTGAGTCGCTTCCAAAGAAGTTTCCTACAGAGTCACAGAACAAAAGCCAAGTTGAAAGTCTGCAACCCCACAGCTTACCAGTGACCAAGGTCTCCATCCCCTCCTCCCCCACGTGACCAATCCTGCCATGTCCACCTGTGCTTAGGTCTCAGAGAGGAGACACGGTCATCCCATGAGGTCGGGACCAGGGCCAGCATGGAAACTTCTAGTCCCTTAGTGGCAGGCATGGCTCTAAGAGGGCCATTTCCATACAGAACACAGAAGAAGTACCACCCAGTCCGTGGTAGCAACGGGGGAGAAGGAAGGAGAGAGAGTCAAGGGAGGGAAGAGGAAGGGAGGGGAGGGGTAGGGAAGGGAGAGACTGGGAGGGGACAGGAGAGGCAAACGGACGCTCCAGGGCTGACCTGCAGCTATTTCTGTTTGGTGTCCATTCAGACTGCTCCATCCCTGTGGGGACAAAGTTAAATATCTTTAATTTCATTCTAGAATGTACTCTTGAGCACATTCACACACATCACACGTGGCAATGAGAGCTTGGGGGGTAAGGGGTGGGGTGCCTGGCCCCACATAATCGCAGGTTAGAAATTCCTGTTCCAGTCTTAATTCTGACTGGCCCCTGAGTCCCAGACATTTCCTGGTCACCTAAATCATGCTCCAGGGGCACAGCTCAGATTAGAATGGCAATTGCCATCTCGGGCCCAACTCCGAACCTTGCACAACCCTACAGATACCCCAAGAAATCAGTAACAGGGACTGATGAAGACCAAACCCAGTGTAAGGGAATTTTGGGGGGTGGGGTGGGGGGAGGTGAGATCCAAGCTCTTATTCCAGAAAGCCACAATTTAATTCATATGCTAAGAACTAGAGAACAACCAGCCAGTGAGAAGTGACCACTCCAGATAGCCGAGTCACCAGCCGGGAATAAAGAATGAAAATGCCTCAAAAACTAAGGTTCTGAGTAGAGGAAGAGAAGCCCAGTGGGGACCACTCATTCTCTAATTTAGCCATCCATTCATCAAATAATTATTGTGTACCTACCAAATGCATCGTCCATGGGGTTGCAAAGAGCCGGACATGACTGAGCGACTTTCACTCACCAAATGCAAGCACTGCAATGCTGGATACTGTCTTCACAGAAGTGTGAGTGTGTGTATGTGCATGTGTGTACATGTGAGTGCATGCATCTGGGTTTAAGAGTTGCTCCACCACTTGCCACACACACACACCCAGACAAGAACAGGATGCCACAATCACCCTCAGTCCCAGCCCCAACCCCAAGCCTACCCTCCAGGGTCCTGTAACTCCTTCTCTTGAAGCAGTTTTGCCTCCTGGATCTAATGAGCAGAGGGAAGTCAGGCTGATAGGGGTCCCTATATCTTTGCAATCCCTGACCAACTATGCTCAGGTCCACTAAGCCCGATAGTTATTGTGCATAATACCTGCTGTCTTATTTCCATCAGGCCCCAGCCCAACACTTCCTCTCGGTGGGGTGGGGTGGGCAGTGGGGCTCTTCTCCAGGCTGGCTGGGGGCTCGAGGCTCAGGGCTGCCTGCAGATGGTGCATCTCTCAGGCTGCCTGGGAGACGGAAGGAAAGCGGGCCTGTCCACATGCCCAGAATTTCTGGGCTGTCACCAGGTCCCCTTGATCCTTCTTCCAAGAAGGAAAGCGGGAAAACAAGTCTTTCCAGGCCCTAATCCTCTCCACAAGGGTGGGCACCATGGAGAGCCAGGGCCCCACTGCAGGCACGCAGACCACCAGAGTCCCACCATCATTCTGGCCAAGGACCCCTCCCCTCGGACCTGCAGACTTGTAACCACAGAAGCTTCTGCCTTCCTTCCAGAGATTCCACACAGACCACCTTCTATACTCTCAGCCTGTCCTCTGCCTAGCATGCCTTGCATACTTCTGCCAGAGGGAAACTGAGGCTGATAGACACCTGGGTGGAAGGAGTCAGGCAGAAGTGGTTTGCCCTAAACAGCTACTTGAACTTGAAGCCCTTCTTAGGGCACTACAGGCAAAAAGGCCCAGGAGGGCTTCCCAGTGGGGTGTAGGACCCTTACAAATCTACACAATGTATCCCTGGACATTCAGGGTAGGCTCCCAGCAGCCAATGCCCCCGGGGCCAGTTCCCCATGGGGTGCTCAGGTCAGGTAGAAACAAGGGAGTGGAAGATCCTCCAGGATGGAGCCCGAATGGTCAGTAGGAGGCTAGAGGATCCATCAGAGGAAGGAAGGTCTGTGTAGGGGTCCTCCTCTAAACCAGCACCAAGCCTCTCCCAGCCAGGATCCCGTGAAAGGTCAGTTTGCGTGACCGATGGTACAATCCTTTCTTGCTACAGCAAAACAGACCTTGTGCCATCTCCATAGGCTGTGGTTTCCAATCTGGGTTTCCAGTCTTGGCTCTTGTGGCTGATCCTGGCCATGTGAACCTCACCCCCAAACCCAATCCCCATGGCCTGGCTTTTGGTGACCTGCATGTCTAACCCCTGGGTGTCTGTGGACACAGAGCCAGCGTGACAAGCACAGAGCGTGGATGTGGGCTGCACCCACCCACAGCTGGAGCTCCTGGCACCCCCAGAGTGGGAAAGAGCTCTCATGTCAGTTGCTCTAAGTCACTTGGAGCCTGCCACTAATGCCAGGCTGGCCTGTCCCCTCCAGCCACTGTGTCGACCACACAGCCTGGACCCCGAGGGCAGGGAGGAGCTTCCAGGAGCTGGGAGGCGGGGAGGGGTTGGCATTGCTCTGATCTCAGGCATCAAAGGCCAGGAAATGCAGTCAACTCTGGAGAGCACTTGCTGTCAAGCCGTCCCCAGCAGGCACAGGCCCAGACCCCTCCCCACTCTCCCAGGGCCCGCCTGGGCCCTAATAGGCTGGCCAAGGGCCCTGGGCAGCAGATTGGAAAGGCCACCCCCATCCCCAAGCAATTCAAGGGCAACTCTGAACAAGAGCTAATTCTGCCAGCATGGCGTCTTCCTTCTGCACCCCCTACCCTGTCTCTACGTTTCCCTCCGTCTCCTCCCTGCCCCCCACAGTGGCCACCCCCTGACTTTTATTGTCCCAGACATTTGCATGAGAACAGGAACTTCGTGCTCTGGGCTCCATCTGCTCCTGCTTATTTCTCACTTGGAACTGCAATCCATGGTCACACATGCCCCCTCCCCACACCCTCTCCCCCTCTACCCAGGCTGCCCCCAGAGTCAGGGCTTGTGGGGTTTCTGGTCCTTGGCACAGGTTGGTGCATCCTGAGAGAGAGTGGCCCAGAAGTGGACAACGTCTTGTATGAGGAGGCTGGAGTATATAAGTCCCAGGATCTCTCTTCCTGAAAGGCCCCCAGGCCCAGTATCCATGAGTCACAAGCTCCAGTAAATATCCTCTTGTGTTGCTTATAGGAATTAAAATGGATAGTACCAGGAAAGCAATGTTGTTAAGTAAATGAGTAAATAAATATGCCTCTCAGAGGGCACTTACTATGTGAAGAATTTTACAAATATTACCTCACGTTTACAAATATGGCCTCAGCTACCTCAGGGAGGTGCTACTGTAATCCTCTTCATCCAGGTGAGAAACCAGGGCAGAGACTAATTAGGGAGCTTGTCCCAGGCCACACACCTGGTCAGAGTGACTGAGGTCAGTCCGTGCTCACTCACCCTCTGAGTCTGTGCTCATGCTCTGCTCTAGAAGGCTCTTCTGCCTATTCCCATCCTTCAAAGCCCATTTCCATCTTCCTCCTGAAGACTCAGTGCTTTTGTCCCCATTTTAAAAATAAGGAAACTGAGACCCAGCAGTCACTGTATTTCTGGAAAGACTTTACAAGGACCAGAGTCTCATCTAAGACTGAACTCTCTGCTTATCTAAAAGTTAAAAACCTCTTTTGGTTGGAGATTTTTCATTTCAAGGTGATTCCCTCAAATGCCAAGTGAGCAGGTCGGGAGCCAGATCGGCCAGTCAGCATGCAGGCCAGGCTGCCAGGCCCTCTGGGCATGGGTGAGCATCGGTGGGCCACAACTCTTTCTTCTGAAGACCTCACCTCCCCAGTCACTGGACAGTCCTGCCGCCTCTCCGAGGTCTCTGCCCCTCAGTTTCTGCAGCTTCTACAGCTTGGCTGTGCCCAACTACACATCAAGTCAGAACTTACGGGCTCTCTTTGGGGCCATACTGTCATCCCACAACCAAATGGACATGTTGGGCGGACAATGGACCCCTGGACCAGAAGAAAGAGAGCTGAGGTCTGTAGCTGGCTCTGTTTGCGTCGGGACAAATCATTTGGCCTCTCTGGGCCTCAATTTTCCATTATGTAAAATAAAAAGGGAGGGCTCACCAAGCCCTAAATACTCTTCCAGCCCAGACGGGATGAAAAGAGACAACATAGCAAATAGGCTGGCAGGCCTGAACCAGAACAAGGGCACACACAAAGGCTGGGTATGTGTGTATTCACAGGGGAGTTGGAGCAGTTACCAGAATGCCAAGAGGTGGTTCCGGAGGGCTTCCTGGGGGAAGTGAGCTGTGCACCCAGGTCGTCAAGGAGGTGACAGGAACCAACTCCGTGATGTGGAACAGGCAGGGGCCCTGCTGAGCAGAGGCTGGGGGGCGGGTGAGGGCCTGGTGTGCTACAACAGAGGCAGGGAGGGGGCCACCAGCCCTACAGGAAGCCCCAGCTTGTTGTTGGGTAACTTCTCCTCCTGTTTTCTGGGAACAAGCTATTTGGAGAAGAGGGGGAGGGAGACTTTAAAGGCTTCCAGATGGGGGGCCCTTCTGCTGCCATGCCGCCACAAAGTCTATGCAGTGCTTTCTAAGAATCCCAGCAAATGTTAGCCAGGGTGGCTCTGGGGAGGTCTTCCAAGCCATCCCCCTGACTCTGTGCTCCCCACTATCCTGGACTCAATAGGAGGCCATATTACATTCTTTACTATTATTCTTTGTTTTCAATTATTTATTTATTTTTATTAAAAAGCTGCAGAAACAGAGAGTTTGGGCTCATCTTTGTCACCCTCCTCTTTGTCCAGGGTCTCAACATCTCAACACATTGTCTGTCCACCTCACCTGGGCCAGTCTGCCCTGAAGACAGGGGTTGGAGGGAAGGACCTGACTTGCCCCTAACCAGGGGAGGCCGTTGGGCGTTCAACAGAGAAGAGAAAACGGAACAACCCAGGACCTCTGTGGAGAGGAGAGGCAGAGACTGGGGAGAAAGAGAACAGAAAGGAAGTGGGATTAGGTCCACCCCAACCCCCGCCAGCACACAGCCAGGGCTGCCGGGGCTGGGTTCCCATGCTTCTCCTGGGGTTATTTCTCAGGGAAGCCAGGTGCTGCCCACGCTCAGCGACATCCCCTTCCTGCCTCTCCCCACTCTGAGCATCCGGGCTCAAACGCTCACTTATCCCCTCCTTGAGCAGGGGTTATGTAGACACGCAGCCCCACCCTGGCCTCATCTGGGTTCCCAGCACAGAGATC